CTGTCCTTCGGACTTGGAACCGGCTTGTGCAGTGCTGACCAGCAGTGAGGTCGTCCCTGCAGCTTCTCCTTCTCCTGGCGCTGACAAGTCCTCGGAATCTTGGTTTCGTGATGTATTATCCCTTTTGCCTATGTCGGACATTCCTCATGAGGTCATAGCTACAGCATGGAAATCCTTTGTTAATGTTCCCTTAGAACCTTTCCAACATTTCCACGTTTGGGCGGCCCAACATGGTCTTGACAACCCCTTTGGCCTTGACTGGGAAGCCCTGCGACACTTCGACCCTGCACGTTGAATGAAACAATCCCGTGCTTCTATGGTCGACCCCTTCATTGACGTGTCTTTGCCTCCCAGGCAGCATTTGCAAGCAGCCCTGACGGCCGCACTGGTCAGTATTTTGGACTGGCCTGACCGTGGTTTGTTAGAGTGTTTGTGTCGGGGTTTTCCGATTGTTGGAAGCATCCCTCCGTCTGGGATATTCAGGCCCACGTCTCCTGAGCCCTTACCTGAGGTAGCTCTTCTGGGACATGATCCCATATCTTATGTTGATGCACTCGAATCTGACCTTCGTGTTCACCCCTCCGCTGCCATCATTCTCGAAGAAAGTACCAAAGAACAAGATTTAGGTCTTTTGGGGTCGTTCCACAGTCGAGCCTTTTTTGATAATCTCTATGGTATAGGTCAATGGCGCCCCTTGAAACGCCACACAGTTCACCAGCATGACAAAGAACGCCCAGTGGACGATGGTAGAACCGGGAGGCGCAATGAGTGCACCCAGCTTCACGAGGCAATTGTCAACCAAAGACCTGACTTCCCTCTAGCTGTTGTTAAGTTTTGGTACCAGGATGCATTACAGTTTCTTCGGTCTCACCACCCGGCAGCTTCCCCCAGCGACTTACCTCAACATATGCCTTGGCTTGAGGTTGTGGCTGGCACAGAAGACCTTTGGAAGGGCTACCGCCAAAACCATCCCTTGAAAGATCAGATGTGTGTAAACATCATCACTTTTGTTCATCCACATTCCAAAAAAACGTGTCTATGCTCAGTTATACGGTCTGCCATTCGGCCTTACGTCGGCCGTCAATCAATTTAATCGTGCCCCGCAACTCTTCGCTGCTGTTTGTCGTCGTGTTTTTTCGATGGTTGCCGGACATTATTTTGATGATTCTATACAGTTTGAGTATGCCCACCTCGCTGGCGCTCACAAGACTCTGTTCATCCGCATTTTGGAGACTTTTGGCGTTCTCATAGGACACCATAAGCGCCAACATATGACCTCCATGCCCCGTTTTTTGGGAATGGTCACTGACCTCTCCCGTCTCAATGACGAGCATGTTGTCACCCTCACATCTTGTCCTGAAACGAAACAGCGAGCGCTGCGGATGTTGTCCGCATTCTTGTCCAGTGGTCGTGTCACACAGCCGCTAAGGCCCGTGGCCTCCTCAATTGGCTAGAAATGTCGCTCTTGGGCAAACCTCTTACGGCTGCCTTCTCCGGCCTCATCGCCCGGCAGTCCTTCGACCACACCAATGCGTTAACTCCCAGCTTGGCACTCTGCCTTCAGTACTTGCAGCTGGCCCTCTCGATCGTACCATCTTGCCGTGTGCCCGTATACCCCCGACTCACGGAACCCGTCATCGTCTACACTGACGCATCCACTGCTGCGCCAACTCCGCTCGGCTTCCGCCTAGGCATTTGGATCTTGTGTGATGAGCATATTTGGGTTGACATCAATGCCCAAAGAGGTTGTTGCGACCTGGGCACCTCGCCGGACTTACATCAACCTACTTGAACTACTCGCCGTTCCTTTGCTCGCAGTATCTGCTCCAGAACTTCTCAGAAATCGTGACGTCCTGTGGTTCCTTGACAAAAGTTACATTAGTGGCAAGTGAGCCCAGATTGGTGGTAAGTGATTCTTATATTTCTTCTCCGCTACCATGGAAAAAAAGACATGTGGAAGTAAGAGCAAGGCTTCAAAGCCAAACCTTGCAAGCAGATTGTGGAAGTCAAGAGCAAGGTTTCAAAGCCAAACCTTGCAAGCAGATTGTGGAAGTCAAGAGCAAGGCTTCACAACCAAACCTGGCAAGCAGATTGTGGAAGTAGGAGCAAGGCTCACAAACAAACCTTGCAAAGAGATTGTGGAAGCGAAACCGGTCAAGAAAAACATATGTTGCAGAGTTGGACCATAGTTTCCTCAAAAGAAGACTTAGATTTTGAGCATGGAATACGAGGTTTCGTCTACCACTTTGTGTTTTTAGGAAGGTTGTATCCTTGGTATGTTCAGTGAATAACCTGCCACCCTCTTCGGACGTGTCCGCCGCTCGCCGCTACCGCCGCTACCGCCGCTACCGCCGCCGTGTTTAATCCGAAGATTCGATTTGGATATATGTGGATGCCAACATCCATACACAAACATGAGGTGTTTTAAGGTGTCAATCAAACATGTTTTGCTCAAGACATGGTCATGTTTTTTGAAAGGTGCAATTTCTTCCACCCAGTAACTATTGAAGTGTTACATGTTTTTCCATGCAACCAACCTCGATGCCGGGCGGGATGGCGGGTGGATGGCCTGTCATCAAGGCCTGGGCCGAAGGGCGTGCTAGCGTTGGCGAGTGGGATCACATGAAAAGATCAAACTCGCACAAAGGAAGCTGAGAAAGGAATAAAGAGAACCGGTACTAGTGAATTTGTTTGAGAATTTTTGAACATCACATCATAGCAGACTTCTGCAACCCAGCGGTTGTTGCTTTAAGCTTACAATAGGAAATATATAAGTGTTATTGAAAATTCAGCAACAGGCCAGTCTTGGGAAACTTCCGCAACTTGCGATGTTTTTCACTCTTCCCTTGCGATCTTTTGCGGTGTTTTCACCAACGTTTCCTTTAAACATGTATATACAACAGCCGGGCATCACACATCGTCCCAAACGGAGGTCAGTCAGGCTGTTGTCAAACCCCTGTGTCCAGGTTGAATGAACCACATAACAACTTGTTGAACACGCCAAAACAAAATGCAAAACACGTACCACATACTTATCACTTCTGGACACCTGACCTGCCAGCAAGTATGTTTGCCCTGGTTTCGCTTGACATCCATGCCTCATATGCAGCGGTTCGCCGCTCCATGGACTTAGGCATGTTGCTGTCTTGAATCCATTTGGCCACGAATTGGTCCCTTGCCTGTGACAAGGATTGAATTGGCTGGGACGGCTCAGACGTGTTGTCACCGTCAACTGAATTTCGTGGCACTCCCTTCTTAATGAATTGTTTGTGCCACGCTGCACTGTTTTCACGGTGAATTGCCTTCTTCTCCTCAAGGCGCTTGCCTGCTTCACGCTCAGGAGCATCGATCACAGGAGCTGGTTCCTGATCCATGGGCATTGAAGCAGGTTCTGGTGCAAGAGGAATCTCATGTTGTTGGGGTTCCCCAACAGGTTCTGGCGCAAGAGGAGCCTCAACATCTTCAGGTACAGGTACAACAGCTTGAACTTCTGGAATGTCTTTGGCGCATGGTTCTCCAAGAGGTTCTTGGAGCACCTCGTCCCCGTAGTCGTAGCCATCAGCCTTCAAGCCCTGACCATCTGCGGCTTGCTGGCTACTTGCGTCAACCTGGTCGCCATTCTGTGGTACAGCGAATTCCTCACCATCAACACCATCCAAAGTGTCGAAAACACCCAGGTCCAGCGTGGAGCGCAACCTCTTCAGCTTGGGTTCTGCAACCTTGGCTGTGGCCTCACCAGCCGGGGAAAAGTAATCATCAGGAATCCTTGGTCATCGCAGGTTGGTTGAACTTAAGGCATGAAAAAGGAAAGAGTGCAGTGCAACATTCCATATGTATAAGATTGGTCAAGAAACTGGCTGTCAGTGAATGTGTCCACTGGCGCCGCAAGCTTGGGGAAGAATGAAACAATCTCTTGCTTCCGCTCGACCGGTGCAATGACAAAGCTTCTCCCTGTGTTTTGCTGGTTGGCCGACGTACGAGACACTGACCAGAACTGGTCGGGCGGCGAAATGTCATATTCCATCAACCCATCATCAATCATAATCTGTGTTGGCAAGTTTGTGGTCATGTTCATGGCCGCAAAGCAAACTAAACCGAAGCTCAGCAAGATCAACTACTGACAGAAGAACCAAAAGCTTTGGACAAACACTGAACTGACATGCCTTTCAGGCAAAAATTGACAGATAAGAAGCAGCTTGGTAGCGGAGCAAAACTATTACAAAAACAGACACACACTTAGAGCCTTTCTTCCTTCCCCGCAGATCCTGCAGATCTTGTAGCTGAAAGCTTAGCCCGTGTCACTCCTTGCTAAAGAGTGTTGTCCCACGATTGGAGGCCCAAAGAAACCTAGATCAACAAATGTGATCAAATGTGAAACATCTAGATCAACTGCTGGCACTCACCCTTACCCAACTTCATGTCGCCGGGAAGGTACCACAATGGCTTTGCAGCCGCCACACACTTCTCGGTCACATACTTGCGCATCTGCCATACCTTATCTAACAGAGTTTTACATTTAACTATGTGACAGTTGGGAGCCTTGAGTCAAACCATTTAAGACTTGGTGGAAAGCCAAAACAATACTAATGAAATCGGTGGGCCAAGCGCAAAGAGCTTCCATGCAACTGGGTGAAGGTGAAGTGACTTGCGAGGTTCGTGCTTTTGAGTGATTTCGCCTGAACCGTATTGGGGCGCCAAAGCAGCTCATCACCTTCAGGAGCCACATTGAAGTAATCATCGCAGCGGCCCTGCTTGACATCCGGCGGCCGGCTGCAGCTATGCCCTCCGAGGGTGAACTCCACCATTCCAGAGCGCTCTACCGCGTGAAGAACAGCCCGAAGAGTTGCAACCTTCCCATCACCGCTGTCATCCTTCGGGACAGCACGGAACAAAGAATGAAGTAGGACAGCGGACAGCAAAACGTAACTCTTCAAAACGGCTTTGTTCAAAACAGCCACAACAACAACAACATCAACAACAACAGAACAACCACAACAACATCACACCACCAAACAGTCCTCAAGGACACAAGCAGCCTGATCCGAAGTAAACTTGCAGGGAATTCCTTTGCCAGCGTTGCTGGCCTCAAAGCGCTTGGCTTTTTCGCCAACCAACCAAACACCTGCGCCGTGTGCGATGATTGGTGCACCCAACCCCTTCAAATCCACGGACTCTTTTGCCATGATGAACAAATGAGGCCCTGGTACCAAAAGCAGCGAGGTGTTGGAGAATGCGGTCATCTCCACCACGTTGTCAGCCCCATACTTTTCCTTCACCTTTTCCAGAGTTTTGGGGCTACCCTGGAACTGGCCTGACAAATCACAAGGCTCAGATTTGATCTCTTCCTCACTCTTCACCTCAGACTTCACCTCAGGCTTCACAGTGGGACCTGAGCTTGGTGTTTGCACCTCAGCGCTGCCCCAATCGCGATCGAATTTTTGCAGGATCTCCCGCCACTCTGGACTGTGCATCACATCCTGCAAAAACAGCTGGCGAATGTCCCTTGGGAGGATCAGCCGCGAGTCTGCCAACTGGCAAATGTGCAGGGTTGGCGGCTCGACCTGCCGGGGCAAGTCTTCCATCCGCACCTCCTTCTTGTAGCGCGGTGTCTGTGAGTGCATAGGCGTTGTTGAGGTCTTCCAGGCCTGCAGAATTGAATCAATCAATTTGTTGCAAAAGTGTCAAACCTGGAACCCACTTTAATGTCAATCCCATCGAAACAACCCATAAGAGTCTTGAACCAGGTCTGGCAAAGCCCATTGAAACCACCCATAGTCCTGAAGCAAGTGTGTCTTCACAACCTCCTTGGATGTCTTGTAGCAGGTCTCATCCCAAGAAGTGCCGCTGGCAACATGGCCCAGCTGCAAAGCAGCCAGCTCCAGGCATCCATCGTACGTAGTTGGATGCACCACCACAACACCGTGGGAGGCCTTCAAGCCACCTCGGGAACAAATTTGATTACATTGAGCTAAAACCTTTTTTTCAGCTAGCTGCAAAACAGGGGGACCAATAGAACCTTCAACCCAGGTTGTGGGAATCATACCAAGCAAAACCGAGATGCTGCACAATGCCCCCAACACGGCTTTGGGCACTTGAACACCGCCGCACCACTGGGCTGTCTCCTGAAAGTCCGTGTAGTTGCGGCGCATATCATTGGAGTGAAGGAAGTCTCCAGGTACCACAAAAGAGCTCTCGGGCAGCGCTTTCGGGAACTCGGAGGGCAAGAGCGACTGCCGCAACCACAATGGACTGTTGCAGAACCTTGCAGAACAACAGATTCCATCCATTTCTTTTTCAGGTGAAGAACACTTTTGGAGCCAAACAACTTCACCTCCCCTTTTAAAAAAACATACTACATCCACCGTGTCGCACATTCACCTCTTGCTCATTCTCGGGATTGCCGCGCACATTGCGGTGGACCGTGCCCTTCGTTGGAAGGGAGGCGTCCAGCACTCCGATGAAACACAAGTAGGCCGCTGGCGTGTCTCTGTTCTTGTGCAAATCCTCCGTGTTCAAATTAAGCGTCCATGGGCGCAACTCCACTTTTGCACTCAACAGCTTGTCTTCGATCTTTCTGGCAGGGTTTCGTGGGATGAGTTGCAACAACAAGATATGAACATGATATGATCGCAACAATGACTTAAAGCTTGGAAAAAAATATGTTGGTGACAACTCAGGGCCTGATGTCCTTCCGCAAGGACCCCCCCTGCGTCGCTGCCAACCAAAAGTGGTGGAATGAGGACCAAGCAGGTTCCTCACTTCTTCCAGGGTGTTGAGAAATGAAAACCAGTATGAAAACCGTTGTCGACTAAACTACTAAACAAAACTAAACCGCCCAAACTTGGAAAGAAGAACATTCAGAAACCTGCTGCAACCAGAGCACTGGTTGGGTTTTTGCTCAACACCTTATCCGCCAGCTCCCCAATCATGTTCACCTCCAATTGGTTAATCACCCCCATTTTCGTGCAATCAATGTAGAGCACGCAATCCAGATCTTGTGGCGTCACCTGCACACAATCTTCTCAGTATTCCGGATTGAAACATCATTGGTCGACCATTGGAACATCTTTGGAACACACACAAAACCATTGGAACATCTTTGGTCAACCATTTGATTAAAAACATCCATAAACTAATCACCCAATTGATATCAACCCCCAAAGTCGCCTTCTTGGCCACAGCATGGTTGCGGAAGAGCTGATCAATCTTCGGGTCCAGTGGCGCTGCCTGAGTTACCAAAGAAACCCGGCAGGCGCGCTCCATGTAGTTCTCACAGAGCCTGGATCGGTTGAGGCAGAAACGAAAAAGGTAAAAGTTGGTGTAAAAATTGGTGTGACTATTTGTGTGTGGTGGCTGTGTGGCTTGGGATATTTAACATAATATAACATAACGATCAAAACATGCAAAATCGAACAATTGTGCCCAGAAACTCCTTGCCGACCTGCATTTGCCCCTTCTCGTGCATCACCATAACAACATGGGCCCGTCGCTTGGATTCTGCCTGGTTCGCGTTGAAGGCTGTCATTGCCGCGCAATCCTGGGCTAACTTGGCCCGGATTTCTCTGAACTTGGCAGCGTTGGCTGAATCCTCCATCTCCATGAGCTCTTGGGCGTTGTGAATCTTGACTGGCGTCGCAGGTGGTTCAACCAGGTCTGACCATAGACCTAGATGAGACAGCTTCCATGTACTCAACTTCGATGCAACAGCCGCTTCCACATCTGGGAAGTAATCCCTCAGCATCACACAAAATTTGGTCCATCAAAAACTATCAAACACTTGTCTTGGAGAAGTTCACATCGTGTAACGAAAAAGATCCCCTTTTTAAACCTTGCTGAAATATATTCAAGGTACTTCTGCATAAACGCTTTCTTCACCGCTGCTTCCTTCTCCGGGGTCCAAGTGGCGAGCAAGCGAGCATCCTGCAGTGTGGTTGCGTACACAGCCGCGAAGTCGGCGTAAGCATCGAATTGGGTAGGTGTCAGCCTCATCTTGCTCCGGGCACTGGGCCGGAGACGGCGTCCGCTCTCAACATAGGACTGCACAACCAACTGCAGATGCATGCATTGTGACTCTTCAGTCACCGTGAGGCAGCGCTTCAGCTCGGGTGGGCGAGAAGCGGACTTTGGCGATGTGCCAATCATCCAGCGCGACCCTCGTAGCTGGTCAGTGGAAAATGCACTTTCCCGCCACTTCGCATGGTCAAGGTGAGCCCGGATGACCTCCCTGGATGCCTCAACTCAAGACAACTATGAAAATTGAAGAAAAGTAAAATTAAAGCCTGCTTCAGAACCAATAGAAACATGTCCCCTACCCATAAACACAGAATCTACAGAAACACTCACCAAGATACCTCGCTGGTACCAGAGATCAGGTTTAGGATTGATCTGAATCGATCTTCATCGACTCTGTTCTTTTGGTGCAGATCGCCCCTTTGGTTGAACTCCGCTGTGACATCTCGAAGCCTCTCTTCTGTTGTCATCGAGGTAGCATGCGTTCCATCAAGTGCTCGTTGTTCCATGATCTGGCTGAACCTGAGTCCAACTTGTAGTACACTGGGCGCCTGCCTCTCTGCACCACGGAAGCTGAGCGATAGGTTCCGGAATGATGCGTCCGTTGAAGTCAGGCTGAAAGCCATCTAGGATTCGTGCCCAGAAAGTCAAACACATTTTTCATTTTTTCTTTAAAACAAAAATTGGTTCGGCAAATAGACGTATATAAAAGCATACTTTGCTATTAGGCAAAGAACGTGTATTGGCATAGACCAGCACTTGTCAAGCACTTTGTGGAGGGGACGAAGGAGATCATCCGTCTGTTTGTCCGTCAAGTCTAGCTCAGCAGCAGCCACTAGAATGGTTGCTACGCAAGAAGCCCTGGTGTACCCCTTGACGATGTCCACGCATTGTGGTTCAGATTTCCATGCGACTGCAGGGAAAGTTTAGCAACATGTTTCTCAACACATTTGTTGACGCATTTGACTAAAGGCAATTGAAAATCAATCCTTGACAATGTTTAGATACTTTTAGCCATGGTCAATCCTCCAGTGGTCTGCATTGTGGCGTCAATAGGTTCTCTTCCCAGGTCAATGCCCCCAAACAGCATGCTTTCAAACGTAGTGACCCAGTCATCCACGCATGGATATCCATCGACTGGGGTTGTGAACCTGGGTTGAATGTGGTTGGACTAGATGTGTTTGGAGAAGAATTTAAACGCTGGTAGTCTGAGACATGCACTTGAGACAGGTCAAGGCCATCTTGATGGTCTCACCTTCCATGCTGGGGTCCATGTCCTTGGAAAACCCATCGAACCAACTACTGTATGTACTTCGAGTTGGTAGCTTGACATCTTTTGAAACATCTTGAAACCATCGTTTTTTATGTTTATTTATTTGCTGTTTGCAAAGGTTTCTTGGAATCGCTACCTAGGTTCCTGCGATGGGTCTCTGAAGAGATATGGTAATCCACGGTAGGTAGCATAGTCCTGATACCATGCAGCCAGCTGATCGCAATGCAGGCGCCTTTGACTCTCATCCTTCCCTCCCAGCAGCTCGGAGACCAAGTGTGCTGGGTGGCCGCCCTCCTCATCCTTGAAGGATTGGCCGTAGTTGTATAGATCCTGCTTGGTACAAAGGAAAATATGTTTAGTTAAGTAAAACATATGGTAAACATCCTGTTGCTTCAGGGTGAGAGCTGTTTTGATAAACACCGACACGGTCCTTCACAAAAGACATGTCACCCTCCCCCATAGCTTTGATGTTCTTCTCGATGGCAGAGCATTGCCGCTTTGTTGGTGGCTCCGCCTCTTGCTTGGCCTTCACTAGGTTTGCCCTCTCCTCCACCTTTGCCCTAAAAGGTGTAGCCATGGTGAAAGACTTGAATCTTGATACAAAATGCCCTGCAGGACCATGAAACTTAGGGTTCAGTCCATTGACTTTGGATCATGACCTCCAAAAAATTATCAATCGACTCGCCAGCGTCCAGTCCATTGAACCCTTTTTAAAAATTTTTGTAAGGTTGATTTTCTTTTTTGCGACCAAAAAAAAATCAACCTTAGACCTGCCAAACCTAGGGTTTTCAATCGACTCGCCCACGGCCAGTCCATTGACTTTCTTTTTGGGGTGGTGAAGTAAAATCAATCGACTAAACGCTAAATTCCATGAATTTCCTGATGTCCCAAATCAATCGACTCGACGCCCGCCACTCCATCGAAAACCCTCGACCCACCCTGTGCGGTACATCGAAATGTTGGGTGAACCCCCCCCCCGGTACATTGATAATCTTGGTGGGAAACCTCCAGTACATCGAAAATCTCTGACGGGGACCCTCCAGTACATTGAAAAACTCGGACTGGAACCTTCCGGTACATCGAAAATTTCGGTGGGACCCTCGCCTGTTTGGTGGGTTGCTGGCCACCTTGGCCAGCCTTTGAGTACCAGGGCTTTTCCGGTCCTTTCCGGCAAAGGTCATGGCTTTGAGCCTGCAGCGATCCTTTCGTCCCAAGGCTCTTTTTGGCGGGGTGGCAAATGCGGGCTGTCCGTTCAAGGGTCTTTGAAATACACTGCCATCAGCTATCATCCATTTGGATCTAGGGTCTGGCAAACACGGCCCTGAGCGGGACTGCAGGGGCCAAGGCATTCAAAATTGCTTGGTGCATTAAGTAGCGTAGCGGGGTTCAAGCGGATCTACCGCCTGCACATGTTGTGAGTGCCACGGGAGATCTGGCAATTCAGACTCAGCCCAAAGCCGGTTGGCAGCTAAGTCATTCAGGTAGTCCACAGCCTTCTGATAGGTGTGACCGTATGAGTAGGCCACACATTGGGCAAGCTTTCTGTAGGCGTCGGCACGTTTCTCGGTCCAGTTGTTTCCCCTCCTCAACTCGAGTTGATTGGGTCGATGGGAGATTCTTGGGGGGAACAATCAGGCAGCTGTATTTCTCTGCAACCCCCCCCAAAGTCTTCCCCAACAAGGACAAAAGTCTTGGTGTCAGGAACCATGGTGAAACCAGCAGCGCGCATATTGGTCATCACCAATAGGGGATCTTGCGCAAGTTCTTTGTCACAAATATGCCGTTTGATTAGGCAAACAGTATCGTGGGAAGATGCAGCCCCACGCCATGAGCCATGGTCGATGCTTCTCTCCAGCACAGGTGGAACATCTGCAGGGCAAGCACTTACGGTTTTGGGAAATGTTTCTTGGCAAACTCTGTTTCAACTTGGAGGGGTTTTGCAACCCCTGCCTCTACGTTGCATGGTCAAAAACATATGGTTCCCCTCGCTGTCACGAAGAAGCCCTCCCTCAAGCTTCACCCCAAGCCCAGGAAGATGTTGTCTCCAGTCCCGGGTGCTCTCAAGCTTGCAAACATTGACCCTCACAGAGCCCAGCCAATCGCGAATGCTAGGCTTGCAGAGTTCATCGCGGATCGCAACAATCACATCTTCGGCGCATTGGAGCGAATCTTCATGCGCCACTCTGCGGCTTATGATTCCCCATAGTTGGTCTCAGATGGAGGGCAGTGGACGGGAGAAGGAATGGGTATATTCTAAATCTAGTTCTACATCTTTGTTGGTCGTTAACCCGGAAAAGGTATTCATAAAACAAAAAACTAAGCCACCAATACGACAATGGGTATGCGACTTTCTGAGATGGGCCAGGCAGGACAACCTGAAGCGTGATTGAGCCACCAATAGGTTCAAATAAGTCATGCAATACTGATTCTTGGCCTCTCTCACAGTGTTGTCTGCCTTATTGTTGTTTGGCTTTGGCAAACTTAAATAAAGCCCTTTTTTGTTTAGAGACCACTTGAGTGTCCACTTTGCTGAAGAAAACCAAGTTGCATTCAATATGAGGCGTGAAGGGGGTTGGTGACCCTCCTCTCCGCTGATTCGCATCACCTGGGAGGGGAGTCCGGGAACCCAAACCTGTTTCAGAACCAAGAGAGCCCTGTTCACGAAAACGGGTTCACTCAAAGTCACATCTTCGATGGTCCTGGCCACCATTTCGATTATGGCCGAGCTATCGTGAGCAGCCGGCTCATCAAAGCAGAACACGTTGAGTACATGTCCATGTGCCCAGCACCCGTGCACCTTGATGCGGGGCTTTTGATGCTTCGCCCTTGGCCGGACAGCCAGGGACAAACTACAAACACCAAAAACTAAAACCTAGATCAGAACTGCCACCCCAAAACTGTTGCCCAAAATCATTAGAGAGACACCAACAGAAACACTTAGCATTTGCAGCAGAAACACAATGCTGCAGATGCTCTCAAGTGAGGGTCGCGTGGAAGGGCGAATTTGGATTGATCAAGCCCGTCCGTGCTGATCAGCAGTAGGCCAGAATTCTTGTCACTTGACTCTTGCTGCAGCTTCCATATGATGGTCCGATCACAGTACTGATCGAAGAGATGCTGTCTGTATTGGATCAGACTTCCCAACTTCTGATCCATTGAGAGGGTCTTGTTTGACAGCTGTGATTTCAATGTAAAACACACCTCGCACTGGGTGAAGAGCGAGCGCTGGCGGAACTTGAGGACATCCGCCCAACGCCTCTTGAACACATCTGTAAATGTGCCATACCTTACTAAACATAAAATTGGGCAGAAACAAAAAACTCTTGCGACAGAGTCCTACTATGATTTGCTCGCTTTTGAGCTCTTTTGTTGCGCCTTTGGTAAATCATCCACGTTAAGTCAAAACATCAGAACATATCAGAACTGTTCTGGAACAAATCAAAGTACCCGACACTGATACTCCCCAGCAAGGACTGTGTAGACCTGTAGTGCTCCCAAAGGTCTCGCAAGGTGCCGGGAGGCATGAATTTCTGGACCATAGACTCTCGTGGAATCAGCTGTCTGGTGGAGAAGTTCTGGTGCGATAGCCACTCTCCAAGTTCACTAGTCTCAACGTCAGACTCGATTTCCTCAAAATCAGATGGTCCGTCATCATCCAAGTCAACCTTTCTGGTGGCTGCTCTGCCTCGCCGCACGAACCTTTGCTCCCCAAAGCGGTGGAGTTGAAAGGGTTCAATCATTTGGAAAGTATTTAGTGGCTCATGGTTGGAACCTTTCAAATTCTGGTTGGACAGTATTTAGATGTATTTAGTATAGCTCATGGTTGGAACCTGGCCAGGGAACCGGTCTGGGAGGGTCTCGGCGATCGAGTCGTGTATAATTTGCAAGAATCCATCCACTGTCCATGAGCCCGGCTTACTTTGGTGCTCCCGCTTGCCATACCTGAGGTCTGGTGCACCTTGTGACTTTGTACGGAGCCGCCGGTGCCCCACACCCACCAGAGCTGCCAAACACTTCTGCCCAACTTCTTTGTCTAGAAGTTTGCACTGTAGGTTGCCAGCTGCGCCAGACATTGATAGATGTAACTTAGTCGGGGGCGAGCATGTGGGTGGAAGTTGGATGCTGTCTCATGTATTTCTAAGAAGGATACATAGGAATATACATATATATAATATTTGAACATACTGTACTTTTTTACATATGAGTCATATGAACTACATATGCGTATGTCGAAAAAGATTGGCCAAGTTGAAGGTACTACAGAATCTTGGTCCCGCTTTGGCATCTCCCAGAACTTTGCCAAAAAGGCCAGGAAATCTTTCGAGCCGCGGAAGTTCTTGAAGCAGTCCTTGTTGGCACCTCCGTAAAGAAATCAACATAGAATCGAATTATTTGTTTTAGTGTGCCCTTCGTAAAGCGTGTTTTGTACCAAACATGATAATAATGAAAGGTGGTTTTAGTCAAATCCTGGGCACAGTTGCAAGCTGCTGCACCAAACAGTTTCTCCAGTCTCTTTTCATCGGTGCCGTTCTTTTTGTATACACCACTGGTGGAGCGGACATATGCAGCTGCAGCCTTTCGATTGGAATTGTCATATGCACGTTTCTTCCTACTAGGCCCGTTGTCTTGGACCTTCTGGTAACCAGAAGCTTTGGAGAACGCTAGCAGGGAGTTCCAACCCAGTGCAAAGACACTGTCACTGTTCCCAACAAAATCTCCATCAGAGCCCTCCTCATCACTGCTCGAACAGGCACAATCACACTCGGAGCTGTTGTCCTCTTCAGCTTCCCTCCCAAAAACAGAAGGACGACCAGGTCTTTGCGGCGCTCTGGGAAACATTGGCTCCTCACTCTCAGACCCAAAGGGCCCACTCTGTGATTGGCGCCGCCCCTCCAGGCTCCCCGCGTCAAGCTCATCATGCTCTTCGCGCTCTGCTCCAAAGATCGTCGAAGGCCGGCTGTGGGGCTGCTGCGCGGAAGGAGGTGAGCTTTGGCTAGTCTTAGGTCTGGGTTTCTTCTTGGCCACATCCCCAAAAGACAAGAAAGCTAGCCGCTTGGCGGCCCTTTCATGGCCTTCTTTACCAAAGGGTGGCATTGAGCTAAAGTGGCGCAAGAAACTTCAACTTTCCATGCTAGACTTGTTCAGTGCGAATCTCAACTTGTGCACATGGATGGACTACAGTTCTTTTGAGCGAAGCCAGTGGAGTCACGGCGAGCTGGTAATTGAAGGGTGCAATTCCTAATTGATGACAAATGACACTATCCCTCAAACACGTTCTTTGTCTTTGACAAAAAGGAGGGCCATGAGCAGGCAAAAGCCTCCACAGCCCAGGTGCATTCCATTCCCACTCATTCTCCGCAAGCTATTCTCGCTAAAGGAGGATGTGTCCACAAGGTCCTTGGAAGTTGCGTTGTAGGGGGATGTGTTTTTCTTTCGGTTCATGCTTTCAAACACAAAATCACCGGGCGTCAACCTTAATGCCACTAAGACACAACACCACCAGATGAAGCCGCAGCTGGAACTGATGGGAACCCCAAAGCGAACATTTGCTCTTTTGCAAGGAACAATCGCTTCTCGTTCTCCGACCTGGGATGTTTGGTGTTTGGGTCCACAAGCGTTGTTTCGGGAGATGCAAAAGCAAAATCCTCCTTCAGGTTGCACGTATACTATACTGTCTATGATTGTCTATGTTTGTGCAAGGAACCAAAGCTGTGAACTCGTGGTCAAGCAGGGCAACCCACGGTCAGCCTTCTCTGTTCGCCTGCGTTTCTTCACATTGGCTGATAGGTCATAGAGCTCTCGATGCGGCATCTCATTCCTGAAAGCCGTCAAGTGTCGCAGCTGGCACCTCAGCGGGAGTGAAACCAGGTAGAACATCGACGGTTGAATGCACATCTTTAGAAGAAGCAAATCTGATTGGTAGTGAGGCTGGCACTGTGTCAGATCAGTCTCATAAACCGGTTTGCCAATCAAGTCTCCGGGAGTGGCAACAAGGTAGCACTGATAGTCAAGCATCAGGTTGGAACCATCGTGCAAAAGGAGTTTTGCAAACTCCTCAAGGCTGAAATCGGCATCCCACTTCTTTTTGTTACTGAAACAAATACGCCAGGTTCGGGCTCGGCTGTTTGGAGTTCCAAACATCTCTGGGTGAAGCCTCAGCGCCGGCATAAGGTTTGAAGAGGGCTACATCAGCTACATTGACGACATCGCGTTCACTTTTGAGGCCACAGCGTGACTTCCTGACGCTTTTGCGGGAGGTTCTTGTTGAGATATGCCTGCCGGAGTGTTGAGGTAGGGTCATGTGAGCCTGACTAGCCCCCACACCTCGTCATAGCCCACAACGTTCTCATGCAGACTCAAGTCCACACGACGTTGGAATACTGTTCCTGCGTCATGACACTTCTTCTTCTCCTTGTTCTGGAATCCCTCACGTTTTCCGTACCTGTGCGTCATAAATCCAGAAAAAAAGAACTTGTTAGTTGATGCGGTCAAACATGGTCAAACAGTTTGAAGGCTGTTAGTTGATGCCATCATGACGGTGGGGTCACGCACTCCAGAGCACGCAAGGCGCTCCCATCAATGCAACATCCTCCCTCTTGAAGGAGACTGGGCACCTGGGTCGGGTCGGGGGGGTTCAATTGGAATATAAGGTACCCGGGCCCCACTCAACAGCCAAACAACAGATGAGTTGCTGTTTCTTGTGGGTCTCACAGAAGCATGTTTTCACAAGCTTCATTTTGGTTGGATCCCACTTTGAAGTCTGGCCCCCAGTGACCATAGTGCGGATATCCCGGAAACAGCATGAATCAGGGAAGCATTGCTGGCTCATCCGCACGCACGATTGATCTATCTCCACCTTGGGCTTGCGTCGATGGGAAACCATACAAACACACAAAGGATGTCCCAGTTCACTGGAAATCTTTAGCATCGAATCAGTTGTCACTTTTTGCTAAGGTGCATTGAAGGTGAAGGTCACATCTGGCCTAATCCCATAGAGCTCTTGGCTAGCGCTAGAGATCATTGCCCAAGCATGTCGCAGGCAAAGCATCCCCCCAAACAGGTCGAAGCAGCGGAGCTTGATGTCACCTGGAGCGGAACTTGATGCCCCAAAACCTGTTGTTCATATACGAATTCATTTGCCTCTCCAGCCAAGTGACGGAGCCTAGTTTTCAGGTTCTGCTCACCGATCAGTTTGGCCAATCGCTTCAGCAGAATTTTGGGCCACAACCTTGTGAATGTGTGTGTGTGTGTCAGCATTGACTGGCCAGTGGAACACATGAGACATGGAAAAAACAGAATGCAACTTGCAGAAAAAACCAGAGCTGAGTCATGGAAAAGCAAATTGTAACTTGCAGAAGAAAGACCCCAGAGCTTCTGCTGATGTTGGCACTGGGTATTCCGGCCTTGGCCAGATCATGAATGGAAACAACATCCTTCACAAGGGAAAGAAGCGCTTTTGCAAGGACATGTGCATTGTTTCATGCAAGGAGCAACTGTATATCATCGCGGACCTCCTCGTCCACTTCATCTGCTGCGATGGGCCCGGGATCACAGGAAGCAGGCCGCTTCATAGAAGAAGGTCTCTTCATGGCAAGGGGTCGGTTCAAGAGCGAAGCCAGATCCATTTCCGGTAAACCAGGTGGTATGGGCAACAGGCTCTGTTTTCTTTGGGCCAACGGACGTCAACCAGATAAATTGAGCGCGCTGGGCAAAGTGCAAAACTCATGCAAGGCTTCACCTGATCTCTAGTACTGTAGATTTTCAACCGACCTCCACTTGCTTTGACGTGCTTTGGTCCCCGGCAGTGTCTTGGATTCTCAGGCTTCCACATGGCCTGGTGGTGAGCGATCGATGACGGTGAGTGGACATGGCCAGCTGAATGGCAAGTGGGTTCAACTTCTATTCAACTTCTTTTCAACGGTTGTTCAACTTCTATTCAACTTCTAGTTTTTCGTCCGAAGCCGAGTCTAGCTGGCCTTGTTGCGACGAATGTAGAGCTTGGTGGTGTCCTGGAGGAAGATGAAAAGTTAAATGTGAGGTGGTAGCTAGTTCTGGTGATCTCCATTTTGCAAGAAACATAAGCTGGCGTCAGCTATCTTTAGCTTCAGAAGAGTCTTCAGGGCCCAGGAGCAAGTGTTTGCGTTTCTGTCACACAGATCCAGGTCCTGATGGTTCTTCGAGAAAAGTTGTTGCTGAGACCTGGGATCGGAGGGCGGTGTTTGACATGGATAATATATAGTCCCATCATACATATATATATATTGTATATAGTCCCACCATATATATATATACATATTTATATTTACATTGTTATATAGGCATATGATCGAAACGGACTTCTGAGAGCAGAGGCAAAAGGCACAAAGAAAACATATATCTTTTGTTGATAGCGCTGATTTGTTGAGTGACTCAGACTCACGTGTCCCAAGGAGTGACTCTAAAAACATGACTTTGTTTTGTTTTTTCGCTCTTCTGCTAAAGACCTGAGCCGCTGGCATCCACAAGCACCCCCCGCCATACACAAATTCCTGGCCGCTGCTAATGTTCCCTGCTGCCGGCACTTGCGTTGGGCGGAACCGGGTGGCAGGTTGAAGCAAGAAGCTCTACATGTTATTTGGACCCACTCCTGTTTTGAGGATCTTAGTGTGTTTTTGAAAGTTGCACAGAACATGTTTACACAAAAAAGGTTCAAACCAACCGCACTCGGAGCACACTATCCAATCTGCTTGCAAGGTTTGGCTTTGAAGCCTTGCTCTTGACTTCCACAATCTGCTTGCAAGGTTTGGCTTTGAAGCCTTGCTCTTACTTCCACATGTCTTTTTTCCATGGTAGCGGAGAAGAAATATAAGAATCACTTACCACCAATCTGGGCTCACTTGCCACTAATGTAACTTACAACCAAGCAGCCTGGCGAGCTATCATTCGATCTGCCTCCTCAGCTGCGGACGTTGGTCACTTGTCCCTGCTGGCAGGCCTTCAATTTGCTCGCCTGCGATGTAACCCTTGGTTTGAGTGGGTCCCCTCCCAACAAAACCTCAGCGAACCCTTGAGTCGCTTAGGGTGGGCAGACCCTGCCGTCGCTCATGCCGTCCAAACGGGTGCCTGGACGCCTCTGCGGCTTGCGCCAATTTGGCACCAGCTAGCGCCCGACTTGCACACCATTTCGTCTTTCCTTACAGCGTTGGAGTGAATCTGAGCCGGTGTTGGGGTAGTCAAATTTGCTCCTTTCGCGTAAACACCAACGCTGTAATTCCGCCGTCTGGATTGGATGATTGTGGTGATGGTGTTTGAAAAAGATGTCTTGCCTGCTGCGTCATGCTTGCTTGTGTTTGATTACTCAGGCTTCAGTCACCATCTTAATTGTCCCTCCCGCATCCGCCCTCTCTCCCTTGGCCACAGCCGGGTGATTGCGGTTGTGGCCCTTCTCCTCCTGCCAGGAGCTTGAGACGTCCTGTTGTTAAACAACTCTCGTCTCTCCTCGCGTTGAGCTCTTGACTCCGGGGTAGTCAAATTTGCTCCTTCCGCGTAAACACCAACGCTGTAATTCCGCCGTCTGGATTGGATGATTGTGGTGATGGTGTTTGAAAAAGATGTCTTGCCTGCTGCGTCATGCTTGCTTGTGTTTGATTACGGTGATGGGCAAACCCTTTTGTATAGAGAGGATTTTGTATTTTTACCAGTTGCCTAAACAATCTGAGGAAGAAAGTGGCGAATGGCTTGGAACGGTGAGCGAGATCAAGTGGGATCGCAATTTATGGCGAGTGAAAGTGCAATTAGATAATTGCAAAGGTAGCGGACAGTGGCTTAAGGCCACTGAGGTATCACCGGTGAAGACTTCTAAGAGGCGTCGCTAGAAAAGGTACCGTTAAAAAAGGGACCGGCGCAAAAGCTACCGGTAGAAGCGGGGGCCAGTAGAAAAGGTTGGCGCCGACACAATAGGTATCAGTAGAAAAGGTACCCGTAGAACATTTCCCGGTAGAAAAGGTGCCCGTAGACAAGGTACCCGTAGACAAGGTAACGGTGTAGGTAGCAAGGACAGGAAAAAAACCACAAAGCGGACAAGAAGAGGAAAAGAACACGAAAAGCAGCAAAAGGACAAGAAAAGGACAGGAAAAGGACAGGAAGAGAAGAAAAGCACACGAAGAGGACAGGAAAAGGACAGGAAAAGGAACAGGACAGGACAGGAAAGGGGCACGAAAAAGACAGCAAGAGAACAGGAAAAGGACACGAAAAAGACAGGAAAAGGGCACGAAAAGGACACGGAAAGGACACGAAAAGGACAGGACAAGGACGGGAAGAAGACAGGAAGAAGACAGGAAACCGCCTAGCTCGTTGAATAATTTCACCCACTATGATGGCTCCACCAGGTTGCGTTCAACAACCACTACGTGGTGAAGCTTTGGAGGTCGAAACCATTCATGACAAAGCGACTAATGAACGCAACAGCGAGTCGAACCTTGACCCCTGAGCGCAGTCGTTTTGTGCCATCCTCCGCGCACCGGTCAAGCCATTTGTGAAGGTCTACTTTCCCTTCCTCCTGATGAGTGCGGGGCCTGAGGTGAGGCTGCAAACCGGTGCGCGGGGAAAACAATCGGTTGGCAATCGTTTGGCCATGTTTGCAGCGTTGGAACAGACACAGACACGGACACCTTGGAACCCACGAGAGTCATCAAAACACAACCCCCCAACAGACTTGCTCATGCCTGGACCATTTTGAGACTTTCTCAGGAGTCTTGCATGGATCATTTTGACAGTCTACTCGCCGGTTTTGGGTGTTTTTCAGTCTGATTTTGCACCCGGACTGATTCTCCCAATCGTCGCTTCGTCGGCCGCCCTCGTCCGTTCTCGTCGGTGTCCTCGCCGAGACAAGAAACGCTATGCGGGGCTCTCCTTCGGCTCGGCGGAGGAGAAAGGGAAGTTGGACTTTAAGGCCGGGGGCGTTTTCACAGAGGCTCCCAAAGGGAGGACCATCTCCAATGGTGTGGAAAATGGAACGGTTTTACCCGTTGGGGCCGGTTCCCCAAGACTAGGAGTGAGAGTCCCACAAACAAAAACATGGTTGCTTCTGCAGGGCTTTCTTCGGAGGAGATCACTGGCCCTTGGTGAACTATTTAACCCTCTCAGGGTGAACTTCGAAGGCCGCTTCCATTTCCCCTCCCTCGCCCATTTCGAGGAGTGCGCGTCGTTTCCACACCGTTTTCGGTTGACCGCTCGCCCGGACCCTTCGGCTCGACCTCCGTGAGGGCATTGAAGTGGTCCGGCGGGACTGGTGCCTTTTAGCAGCTTGGAGCTGGATCGGAAGACTGATCGGAAGACCTCGGAGGTGGAAAGTGGAAGGTGTCACCAAGCATGGAAGGTGCATCATAGAGGATCTGTTCATTCAACCAGGGCAAGTCACAGGGCGGCCAGACCGCCGTTTTTATGGCTCTGTGGCGCTGCCGGAAATTTGCCACAGGACGCCTGGCATTGAAACACAGGACGCTTGACATGTGCGGGATGTTTGGTGGTATTTCTTGATCGGCCACAGCCATTAAAAACAAAACATATATATATATATATATGGGTGTGAATTGGGGTCAAAAACCCTTCGCGAAGAGGAACAGACACCCATCAGGCCGATTTGGGGGGCCTCAGGATTAAAAGTATCAACCTGCATGGGCATGGGTCCAACAAATGCTACCATTGGGAGGCTAGGGTGAGTGGGTTATCCACACCCACATCTTGGTGATCATGTGTCCACTCTCCTACAAATCAACGTAAATATTGGGAGATCATCGGAACCAAAACCAGTTGTTAGTTCTTTTTTCTTCTGCAAGCGCCACTGTTTAT